TCAACACAGCTGAAACAACAGTGATAATTTCATCCCCCAGATCTTCCATACAGCTTATTCTTCTCATTGCTTCTACTCTTATCACCTCCATCTCTCACTCAAACCCACAGTTCTCAGCACTCTCTTTGACTCACAACACTCCTGACATCAAAATATTCAACTTATGTTTTAAGTCCTGTGTATCCTCGTTCTCTGTAACATAAGGAGCATCCTCTGTTTATCCACACAGCTACATTCTTGGTCAAGCTACCCCACCCTTCATTTACCATTTTGTCTTCCCTTTGGTGACAGAAGATGTAACTGTGTCCTTGTGCCAAGGAAAAGTTGCTGCAAGATCATTTCCCTAGTCTGTGGCTTTGCTTCCTACACAGCTTCTCACCTCCTGAATGGCAAACTATCACTCTTTGTGTTTTGACTCTTTCACAGCTTACTTCTTCCCAGCACTGACATTCAGCATTGCTGTAAACTTCCATCTCTCACTGGTCTGATTCAATCACCCCCTTGGTAAACTTTCAAATGAGCACCTCCTCACTTTTCACCACTGTGCCTTTTGCTACTGAGAATAACTTCCCATTCACAGCCATAAAGCTACCTGACTTTCCCTCTCAAATGCCTCCTAAAACATTAATGCCTAAAATACCCTCTTTAGATTAATACCTATGAAATCAGAGCTGGACAACAAGGAGGCTGCTGGCATACTGATCAGTGCAGCTGTTCAGTGTCCCCCCACTCACCTGGGTCCCTTCTCTCCCATCTCATCCTCAAGCCATGAGCTGTTCTGTGTTCCTACAGCAGCAGGATGGGAACCCAGCCCCAGGTGGAGGGATCACAGCACCACCGTGCTGCTCCCCACATCCATCCCAGGCCAAACTGCACCTGCTCTCCTGTTGCTGCTGACTTCCAGGCACCTCCTGGGACGCTGGGATTAGCAAACTACAGCATGGCAAGGCTGATTCACATTGCCACAAGCACAGCCTAAGGAACTCACTGGGCTGCTGCAGAAAGTCCTGAGAAAACAATGACTTCAAAAGTTTTTGTCTCCACCTCGGATTTAACTTTGCCTGTCTCAGAAGTCGCTTGCTACAGCTAAAACATCAACTACAGAACAAATATACTGTAAATACTGACTGAACTTAGAAATACAGTTCCATTTTTTGCACATCTTACTTAGTACCACATTAAATGAAGAATGCTTGATATCTAACCCCTGATTTGGAGAGCTCACTTACATGGTGGGGCCATGTAATTAAGCTGACAACCCACAATTTCACAGAGAGCAGACAGAAGTCCAAGACTGAAAGAACATGAACACTGAATTACTTTTAAAGAAAGAAACAGGCGCCTTTTTTAATGCAATCTTGAACACTGTTATTAAAAAAATGAGAGCAACATTTTGGAGTAACGAGCAGAGATTACTCATTCCCTTGTTTTACACAAGTTGACTTTTGGCTTTCTGCAGAATACCATTTAACAGAGCACATTACCAAGCTGCTAGCCACTTTTCACAGTGATGCTAAAGCAGGTAAGAGACAATAAGTGGAACTGTTGATGGTTTATATTACTCTATTATGTTAATGTTCACTAAAGTATGCCATAAGCTCTCTCATTACATGTGTATAAACCAATTCTCTGTGGTGTTATTCCTGTGCTAAATGCTATAACTACATAAATCTTGAATTAATGGAGACTTTATAGTTCCTGAAAATGAAGGGTAATTGCTATCTGTTAATGCTGTTGTTGCTATTAAAGGAAGTATATATTTTCAGTAACAATGTTTATGGACCGTGAGCTCCACATCTCAGCTAGTGCAAAGAGAAGAGACAGTGTAATACAAGTATCAGACTGACTCCCTTTCTCTCCCTCCTCCCTCTCAAAAAGCACAGTATCATTTCCCCAGCTTCAGCAAGCAGCACTGCAATCCTCCTTACAGCTGCAGAGCCCAGACCAATGTCCTTCACTGAGCACAGAGTAAAGGAAACAGGATTTGCATTTCCATCTCGGGGAACGCACGATTTGCTAAATTTCTCGCTTGGTTAAATGGCTGGACAGCTCACTTTATTAGTTTGGGTACCTCAAACAGTTCTGTGAGGAGCACATGGTGACAGAATGATAGGTGTGAGAAAGTATCATCCCACTTACTTCCTCTGAGATTTCAGCAGTGATGCAGAAGTGAAAGGCTATACTTGGCCAGAGACAGTTCTCAGAAAGTAGATGGGATTGACAAGGCCCCTGCCTTCAGCTCCTCTTCTCCAATTATTAAAAACAGCAGTGCAATGTTTGGAAACACTCACAATCTGCTGTGAAACTGTACCTTGCACTACAGTAATGGCTCCTCTTTCTGATACACTGTACATGTGACTCACTATGCTCAATTGCTTTTCTCCCCTGGAGCCCTGCACAAGGGAAAAAACCAAACCATCAGGAGTGTGTTTATATTTTACAATGCAGTGAAGGTAAAACCTTAATTTTACCCCAACATCTATGTTTGAAAACATTAGGAGCTCAATAGACCATACACCTATGAACTAAATAAATAGTGGATAATTACTAGCATGGTACAGAGGAAGAAGTAGGAGGTGGAAAATTTCAGTTTTGCTTCTAGCTCAGTCGCTGACTCAGTTTGTACTTGAACACAAACTTTTTTTGTCTGCTTTCCTCGTGAGTTTTATGCAGGCAACACTGACCTGCTGTTTATGACTAACAAAAAATGTCATGCAAATCAAAAGTACATTAGTAACTCCTGCCCTGCCCTTCCTTGGTGCCAGCATGTGTAGGTGTAGCTTGAAAAAGCTGGTTCTTGCTGACCAGGCAGCATTGCTCTGCAGCAGTGGGGAAAGAAGCCGACCCACCACGTAATTTGGGAAGGCTGGTGCTGGGCTAGGCACTGTGCTGAATGCTCCACCTGGCTGCAATAGCCTGGGAGCATTGGCAGGAGACACGTTCTGCCATCACAGGGAGGAGGAAAATGAGTGTAGTCCCTCAGGACAGTCACACCAAAATTCTTACAGCTCTTTGTTGCATCAGTCAGATTAAGTTTTAGACAAACACTGAACGAGTTTCCAGGGGAGTGCAGAATGTCAGGTATGAGCAGAGCGAGTCAGGCTGCCCCTGTGTTCCCCAACTGGAAGGCAATGTTGCACTCACATTATCCCCATGAAAGGTTTGAAGCAACTTCACTTCAACCCTGGTGAGTTTATGTGCATGTGCCCACATCTTTGCTGACAAGAAAAACAACCCCACTTAATTCCAGACACCTATTTAACAGTACTGTGTCATGTTTCACATCTCTGCAGATCAGGCAAGAGATAGAAAGATGATGATCTTGTGCTGCTCTCCTTATGAAGAAAAGAAATGTTGTTATTATTAAGGCAGAGTCACCTTAAGGAGAAGGTAGGTGGGAAATAGGTGAGCCTAGAAAGTCAAATTACAGTTACAGAAATGTAAAGAAATGTCATATTAATGGTAAGGAACACTATAATAGCCTTTCATTTGCTGTAAAGGACAGCAAGTTACCAGCCAAACACAATGCAGCTTCCTCTGAAGGTAACCTCAGATCCCACATTCTGAAAGCTAATCAATGTTGTTCAGATTTCAATTTCTTCTCTACAAGGTGAAGTCAAACCTAATCTAACAAACGTCAGTCTCAGATGTAATGCCTCTAGCTGGGTCTACCAGTGTAATTTAGATAATCATTAATAGCATAGCTGTATAATAAAACTACATGTCACTTACAACTTCATCTGAGCTTTGACTGGCAGATCTTTAAACAGTTTTCTAAGTGATTGCTTTTACTTCCTTTGATTGGGCAGTCTGAGAAACGTTTTAACCCCATGGTATCTAAGCTTTTAGGGAACAATATTTCACCCTCACCACCCCTGCTGTCAGCTCTGCTGCTGTGTAACCTTGTAAGAAACAGAACTTGGGGAGAGGGGTGGTTTCAGCAAGTGACTTCATACATATATGCTTATATAAATTTAAAATAATATAAAACAAAATATGTACAGTATCTTTCATTCAACACACTATTTAAATGTTTCTCTTCAATCAAGCCGCCATCTCAAAACACAGCTTTTGCCACACTCCAAGAATATTTAGTATCTGATGGGATTTTTAAAAGAAGAAGTTGAAGAAGCCCTAATGTTTCTAAAGCTCTAACAATACGAACAAAAAGCTTTCAGAGCAGTCTCTTGAACTCATGGTAACCTCTGATGCAGCTGGGTGTGCTGCTGGGGACACAGGGCTACCTGAAGTCAGCCTGCACTTGTGTAATGCTGATCCAGGAGAAAACTGTGCCACAGCCTCTCATCAATGAATGCAAGACACTGGACAGCCAAAATATAATAAAGGTTTGATGAAGAGCTGACCTGAGACTGACAGGTTTGATCTGCCAGAAGCTGGCAAGGAATACTCAAGTCTTTTATATATTTGATGTTTAAAAGCATGGTGCCACTGGTGCTACACAGTGGGACTTGTCTGTTTTCCTTGCAGAGGTGAACAAGAAATCCCCATACACAAACTACAACCTTTCAATGACCAACCTCTGTATTCAAAAGAAGGTCAGAAAAATCATTGCTCTGTGATAAATATGCATGCATCATGACAAAACACTCCTTGACAGTTACCACACTGCCTTGGGAGGGCAGGTCCCATCTTCTAACTGATTACAAAGCTGACATCTTCAAAGGTTACTATATATACAATATTGGCTCCTGACAAGTTATCAGTGGAAACTTCCTCTGAAACAGCACTAATGCTGTAACTCAGGTCTCACAAAATGCTCACATAATAATCAATAAAGACTATTATGTTAACAGGACTCTCTTTTCTGCAAATAGAAGCTAGTGAAGATCACAGAGTAGCAGATCTGATGCTTTTTCATTCAATTGTAGATATTTTTAAATTTGACATAAAGACTGGAGGAAAATGTTATTTTCAAATTCATTCTTATTTTGACTATCAGGGAATTTCCAAGCACATGAAATAAGAAAATTCAGTCTTACCTTATCGTCAATATCGCTCTCGCTGTCACACTGTGGATTAGAGAGAGAGAAAAAAGATTTTGAGAAACACGTTTTTGTATAGGGATCTTTTGCATCATCCTCTTAAATCTTTAGGATAGCTGTTTATGATGTTCACAGTTCAATGAAACACACTTCTGATGTCAGCAGTAATGCCTTTTACATTGCTAGCATAAACCACAGAAAGCCATATCCTCTCTTATACAAATGTATGGTGTACTCTTACTTGGATGGGGGAAAGCAAACTTTAAACAAAAAAGACATTCAGTGATGCATTATAACAACCACTGTAACATGAGTACCACAACAAAAAGCATGCCTTTTTATCATCCCAAATCATGGAATATATAGTAACAGTTTTGCATTGCTTCACCTTGATAAGCACTTTGCCATCTAACAAGGAAACTGTGAAACTGGAAATCAATTTCTAATTTAATGAGTGGTACCAAGAATAGTAATTAAAATACATCATAAATTCTGGTACATTTTTTAGTTTGAATGAGATCACGATCCCAGGAGGAAGTGTTTACTTAAGGAGTTTTGGAGTGCAATCTCTTTCAGGCTCTGAAAATGAAATGCTCTATTTTCACAGCACAAATGATGGAAAGATAACTTGAGCACTGAACATTTCAGGACATGCATATCTTGCTGGCTGGAGCTCAGAGAGATTTACAGCTGGGAGCAGCAGCAAATCTCTTGGTGTCTGTTATGCTGACAGAAGTGGTCAGTGTGTTCTGTAGCCTTGGTGCCCAATGGGAACTTTCTCCTTCAGCCAGCTGCTGATGGGATGGCCTGGTGGGTTTCTGTAACTGGCAGCACCCTAAAGAGTTCACTGGGTCAACAAAGAGGTGACTCTGCAAGCCAGCAGTGACAAACCCCAAATGTGGAAATGGTCCATGAGAGCACACATGATTCGGTGTCATGAATGTAACAGGAATAGATCTGTTTGGTCATTTTGCCCAGATTTCCTCCTGGAGTGGGGTAGGGGAATCTTTCCTGTCACGTTCTTTAATCCTCAAGTCACACAGCAGAAATTTCAGCTGTTACATTCTCAGTTTTCTGCTGATTTATGAGACAATATTTAATCAAATTCTCTGAAACACGCAAAGCACACAAACAGCCCCAATATATTGAAGGAATCTCCCTCAGTGATTCTGCAGTGAAGAGTGCTCAGCTTCCCGACTGACACCTTCTTCCCATTTTACTGCAGTGAAAATGCTTGGTTTAGGGAATCTGTTTTTCTACAGTCTTGACTAAAGAGAACTCTTTTTCTTTCAAAAGGAAACCATTTTACACTGCCCCACATGATCCACAGCATGTTTTTCACAGAGAAATCTGACTGTTTAGCAGGATGTGCACAGATCTAATTGTATGTGTAACCATTCTGGAAAAGAAAGAACCTGAAGAAAAATGGAAGAAGTAATAGGACACTGCCTTGCAGGGGCCTGGAGCTGTGAGTGGGCAAGTTCTATGGGAAAAACCAGAGTTAATACCAGCAAACTGCACAAAGTCCCAGCCAATTGCTTTGTAGTAGGCGAGAACATCAGATAGCCATGTCTTTAGTAAATACCTTGCCACAAGCCATTTTTGCCTTTTTTGTGACTTTTATTCTGTCACTGACCTTTTTGGAAATCATACGAAACACAGTTTCTGTTTTTTTTTCACAAACCAGAAGTGCACTCAATCCTGATAAATCACCATGAGCAGCCATCTGCTGACTTCCCCAAACCCGTGTCACGCAACCACAAACAATTACAAGTGTCTGCTCTGGGCTTGGAATGGGACTAATTGTCCATCACATTGAGACAAGCTGAAACAGGTTTGCTGGGCAAAGGCTGCCCCAGTACCTGCTGCACTTGTGCTTGCCCAAGACAGCAATAATTCACGCTGACAGAGCAACACATTCATCAAAACTGAGCTGGGGGTGGGGGAAGATGCAGTCACAGCAGTCCACTTCTTATTATTTACATGCTCCTGAGAAACACTGCCTGAGTGGAGGGAAGCCTTTCACCTCCACCCAGGGGGAGTTCAAATCAAGCCCTAATGCTACAGGGACTGTGCATTCCTCCAAATTATTGGCATAATGGAGTGGGTCACAAAGACCTTGTTATTTTACTCTTTAAAGCCTGTCTACACTGAAGTATCCTAAGTTACCATTTTAATCTTGGTGCTCATTCACATGAACGCTCATATTTTAGAGGCAGAATATTTTGACTCTGTGATTTATTGTTCAGACTAAAGCATGTTACAGCAGAATTACATCTATTGCAAGAATGGCATAAAAATAAGTTAGCACACTCAGCTATGGGTTTCTTCAAATTGTATGCTTAGGCAATATCAACACAAATTTTAATTCTAACAGGGGCTTAAAAATTACACACTGCAGTAATAAAATAACCAAATAAATTAAACTTTGAAATCCATTGACTAGAAAGCATTCAAAATGATCACTAAGTCTCAGACACTTCTGCCTATGAGTCCTGGTTGAATAAAACCTCAGTACTGTAAACATTACCAAATTTAGCTTGAAAATATTTGAGATGTAAACAATTTTTTGAACTTTGGTAACCATTATTATTCAAATACAAAGTAGCATTTTAGTCTTCTCTGGTTTTTGTAACAAAACTTGTCTTCATAATTCTTACTGCTTATGATGTTAAAAAAAAAGACAAGAGGGTTTTTCTTGTTGAAAACAGATGACCTCCAAAATTTGTATACCTATAAAGAGTATAAAGCCCTCTTACAGATGGTTTACATTAATAAAAGGTGCAGAACTGCTTTTTTTAGGTGCCTAATTTTGCTTTGTACCAATATGCAACTTTGTCTCATGTAGATAAGTGAAAGTTGCAAAAAGCCAGTGAACCATCAAATCCACATGCTAGATTTTATAAACAGACATATGAATGAAGCAAACATCTGCTCTCTGAGGATACATTTTTCCCCATTCAGGATCTGTAAAGACTTCATAATTAATTGCTTTTAAAATGGAAAAGACAGAAAAGAATTTTGTTTCATTTTAGCTTACATCTTCCTTACTTTAATCATGATTGCATCAGTCTGGAAACTGCAGAAGGCAGAAGGGCTGTGGATGCAGATCCACATGTGAATGTGGCTCCGTGTGGACACAGAGCCTTCTGTGAAGCTGTGACTGCAAGATGAGTGGTTTAAAAACTGCATTTGTGGCAGTGAGTTGCCTAATTTCTTGTTTGCCTTGTGAAAGCAAATCCTCTGCCCCCTCTGCAGCCATGTGGGATCACTCACACACACGAGCTGTCCCTTGTCTTGGTTCCTACCTGGCTTTAAACCACCAAAACACTTATCTTAATCCGTGTGAGAATGTTCCAAACTGCCTACAGGATGAGGGGAAGAATTAACACATTGATATTTATAAAATTTGGACTTCTGCTTAACATACAAGAAAATAAAAACTTGAGACTCATGGCTACCAACCTATGCCAACCTCCCACCAACCCCTGAAGAAAATACAACCAGCTTTGGTGGAAAAGGCCCCAAGCTTCAGAATTCCCACAGGTTTTCTTTGTTTTACGGAAAAGGAACAGGTTCCCACACTTGCACCAAGAAACAGGAACCCAGAGGCTGCTGAACGAGCAACAGCACAGAAAAGCCAACGCCAGCAAAACCAAACAGGCCCAGACAGAGCTGTGAAAAGCAGAACCACTGCTGACCCCTCTCCCTCCCCTGGGCCGGGGTGTGTGTGTGGAAAAGCCCCAGTTTCGAGGGGCTGGCTCAGTTTTTGTGGGAACTCCTTCGGCCTCACACGCCTGCTCTCCTCCAGCCTCCTCCTCACCCCGCAGAGCCCCGGCTCAGCACAGAGGCTGAGGCAGGGACCCTGCATCCCTGGGGTGTTGGAATGAATAATGCAGTCACGGGAGAAACGCTGGTTTGGCCTCAGAGGTTTTTCCGTGCCTTAAAAGCCAACTTATCCTGTGTGAGGAGGAGGAGGAGGCCATGCTGCGAAGGCTGAGGCCACCACCCAGCCAGGCTCACCTCCCACGCTGCTGTTGTTGAGGGACAAAAGCCCTTGTCAAAACAAAAAAAGTTAAAGAAAATGTGGAGAATGGCAACTGTTGAAAGCAACAGGGGCTCATTGAAAGACAAAAGCTTCAATTACCTGGATTTTTCTAAAGTCCTGTTAACACTCCTGGTCTATAAGCAGGACTGTAAACAGCCATTGTACAGGGTTCATAAAGGCTCCTAAAGGGATTATTCACTGGGTTGTGCCAATTGTATCTCAATTCCACCAAGAATGTTTGCAAAGTCGACCCCTAATTGCGCAGCTTTTTGGAAACAATTTCTTGCAGTGACAGATTCCCGTTGGAAGGAAGCCTCCCATGAGGTGAGGTTCAGCAGGACAACACAAAACTCAGGAATCACAGATGGAGCATCCATGTGTGTAGACTGGGCCTCGTGGTTTGTCATTTTTGGGATGCCTGGGGTGAAATCTCTCCTTACAAGACCCCCCTCCATCACGGCTTTCCAACCAGGCAATGAGCTGTGATGCACTCCATCACCTCCTTCTACAAACCACCTCAAGAGGGATGAAGATGGACTTATGGCTACTGTAAAACAGGCAACAGCACATTTGGCAAAGTATCTTCTCTTACCATTAACTGGCATTCAGGTCCTTACAAGCTATATTAAAGCTGTACTATGATTCTAATTCTTTTCTGATGAGTTTAGGAATCAGGAGAATGTCCTTCGACTCTTTTCTTACCCCCAATGTTTTAACTACTACATCATCCAGCTTTTCTTCACATAAAAAAAACCTGACATCACATAGTCATGTAAACTGTGTATTACCAGGAATAAGAGCTTTCAAAACCAACCAAGTCTCCTAAGATTGCAACAAGACTGGCAATACCTGATGTTATGTCACAATCGGTGCAGAGAAATATGGTTATTTCAAATGGAGCCACTTCCTCCAAGCTTTTGAGAAGTCACTTCAGATTATCCACACAAAGATGATTATCTCCTACTTCACCCAAACCCAG